TCATCAAATAAGAGAGGAAAATTACATAAATACTCCTGGACGTCCAGCACATAAAATAGTCATAAATAGCGTATTTTAACAATGTAAAGAACAACATAAATCCCAATTAAATAAATGTCAATAAAAATAAAGAAAATTTACCATACCCAAGGATCCATGATAGGCAAAGAAACACCATTTTTTATCTTTATAAACAACTGTCCATCATAGACCTCCTGCAAAAATGAACTGAAGAGCTTTATAAACAACTGTCCATCATAGGCAAAGAAACCCAAGTGTCTCCCTCACAAATAACCTAAATCAAAATGAACTGCAGGTATCTATAAAGATATCAATTTTTGGGATGATAACTATATTTATTTTAAATATTTATTTGGCTTAGAATTTTCATTATCATGTGTATTCGTCTGCTAATAAAAAGAAATCATCCTTTTCTGATCCCTCCCTTGATTTAAATTGATTTGAGGAATCCAATTTTAACATTTTTTCACACATATTTTGCTTTGACGGATGGACAAAGAACTTCTGATTGTAGTGATCAGTGCTGCAACCACTGCAACTGCATTGACATTGACCATTCTACAAGAATGGATGGACTACGTGGATAGGGAGCCATCTGTCAATCGGGACTTAGAAAGGCAAGATTTATTGGATCGACTATATAGGGGAAACCAATTTATTGTTATAATCAGTTGAAAATGAGAAGTGGGTTAAAATTTGATGGTATTTGAGTTAAAATTTGGTTTCTAGGGTTTTGGCATGTTCTAAAAATATTGGTGATGTCTGATTGGGCATTTGGAGTATGAGAAGTGGGTTAGAAAGGGGATCGAAGAAAATTGGGTGCTTACAAGTGGCCATTCATTCAAACGAGAAAATGTCATTCAATCAAGAACGAGAATGGAATTCCAATTCTACCCAACTAAACAGGTGGAATTAGAATGGCCCATTTTGATTCCAACTCCAAACCCCTATTCTTGTGAACCAAATGGGACCTGAGTTTTATTAGTAGGAACCTAATGGTGTTACTCAGTTCATTATTGTTGGGTTTTGGATTGATTGTCCTATAGATGGCAAATTGCTATATTCTCCTTTATAAGCCCTTATTTTGGTTGTAATGTTTTAGCTAGTGTTTGGAGTTGACGACATCAATGCCATGTTTGAAATCTATTTTTTTAGACTACCTTTGCTATTTGGTCATCTGTTTTTTTTTTTTTTTTGAAAGGTTTTCCCAAATCATACCTTAGAAATTGGAAAAGGTGTGGGAAAACATCATTTTTTTGTTTTGCATTTTTTCATTTTCTATATGCCTATGTGGCATTGAAAATGCCTATGTATGTCACAACACCCAACAATGGCCCTAAGAGGAGAGAGAGAGAGAATGTCATACCAATGCATAACTATTTTCTCATAAAAACATATCTTAGGAAATGACATTGGTTCCAAACATGCCCAGTTTACTATTGTGATGATTAATGGTATTTTCATTCTTTTTTTTTCACCAAAAAAGATTCATCTTTTTTCACCAATCCTAAACATGTATTAATCAAAACAGTACTTTTCAATGGAAGTTTGACTAATCTTTCACCATTTATACCCTCAAATAAATGGTGGATTTGTGATTCAAAGAACAATTGAAACCATATGAGAATGCTTATAAAGACAATATTCTTGCCATACTCTTTTTTTTTCTATCCATTGAGTAATAATATTTTTTCTATTTTTAAGTCAAAATCTAAACTTCATTGATAATTCTAAAATCACAAGAAACAAACTTAACAAAGCACACCAAAAAACAATTATAAAAGACAACAATAACATTAAACTTAGAAAGCAGACAATAATCCACTCAAAGCAGCAACCAATACTAGGTAAGTTGAGCACTAGAGCATTATCAAGCAAGGCATCTTCAAGTGTCGTCAAATAGTAAAATAAATGCCACAATAATGTATAGTGAGAGTGTATCAACCAATACGCCAGTAGAGGCGTATCAAGCAGTATTGGTACCTTCTTCTTTTTTTTTTTCAAATCTGGTTCATGGGGGCTGGTTTAAGGTTCGTCCACCCATTGAACTGGTCAAAATCCCAATACACCCTTTATAGTGCTCCCGATATGATACGTATTGATACTTTGAACTTTGCTATCACTCTCTTGGGAACTGAATTTTTTAGGGAGTCCACATATATTTGAAAAAAAATGAACATGATTATCTTAATCAATGGGAACCAAAATCCTATTGACCGACTCTCCCCCTCTTAAAATATAGAAAAAAATAATATATGTATTCTTTTTCATATTTATATTTTTTTCCAACAACATAATAAATCAACATCATACCATTTTGGGCTGTTTTTAATTTCATCATATATACTATTATAGTAAATTGGATTTGATCCTCACAAGACTATGCTCACACTTTTGGTAGAGTCATTGCAACCTAGCATTAGGAATATTTCTTTATGAAAAAAGGCATAGAAGTATGGAGATGTTCCCAATGGACACCTTTAAAAGAAGCATTGAAGTCCATCTCCTATTCCAATGCTCTTTATATGATACTAGTATTCGTGTATGTGCTTTGCATGATAGTATATAATATGTTTATTTTTTTTGCAATTTGTATATTTCTATATCTATACAAATATTATTCTTTAACACATTTATTATGGTTCATTAATAAAATTAATAATTTTTATAAATTACATTCATCATAATTTTATTTGAAATCTTGTTAACTTTGCAATAATTAACTTTTATATGATAAATCCAACTCTAGCTCCTTCAATAGCTAAAAACCTTATAATGAACAACTATAAAAAATATCACTTACTCTTGTAGATATATTGCCATCCAATGATGTGGGCTTTAAGGTAAAGGAAATGAAAAATTAACCCCCCATATGGTGGGAATAAAGAAGAGAAAACCATTTGATACCTTAATAATCATAACTAAACCAATGAAAATAAGTTAAAAATATTTAAAAAAACAATAAAGTAGTTTAAAGAATAAATTGTTCATCATTTGCAAGTTAGAAATCTCTTCATGGTGGTTAATGTGGCCTGACATTGGCTATTGAGAACATAAGATGTATTTTCAGTTTTTTATTTTTTAATTTAAATAAATAAATGGGTAAATGGCTAAAACCTCCTATGGAATTTTTTATCATTGATGAACCCCCTAAAGTTTGGTAAGTGCAATCACTTCCCATGAACTTTTTGACATAGTTGCAAGTAGACACTCTGGTAGAATCTTCTAACGAAAAACACAAAAATGTCCAAAATACCCATGTAGTTATGTTTGACAAAAACGTTTATTTTTCAAATTTTTCTTCGTAACAATTACTGCCTCAATCCCTTCTGATCTCTTTTTTCATAATTGATGTATTTTCCAAATTTTCCCTTCATATCAATTGCTCAAAGATGAACTTGCAACTTAAACTATATTTTTTGTTGTTCATAAAATTTATGTTGTTTTTTTATGTCTAAACAACCACATTAATAATAATTACATGGGTATTTTGGACATTTTCATGCCCCCTTGTTAGAGGATTTTACAAAGGGGTCTATTTGCAATTGTGTCAAGAAGTTTAGGAGAGGTGATTGTAATTATCAAACTTCATATAGGGTTTGGACAATGGCCAAAAACTTCATGGGAAGTTTGAGCAATTACCATGGTTTGTTTTCCAATTATTGAACAAAAAGATGGATTTTTTTTTGTATATTTTCCCTAACAAGCATTAAATGGGGATATTAAATAACATTTTTGCCATTGACTTGTTTTAAAATTATGAACAAAAAGAATAGAGTTTTGTGTATTTTTACTTTTTTAGTAATAAGCATTAAATTAAGAAGAAGAGTCATTTCATAATAATCATTAAATGAGAAAACAAAATTACATATTTATAATTGCTCCTTCTTTTGTTCAAATCTTATACATGGGGCATTTTAGTCTAACGAAAATTTCATAAGCCAACCACTTTTATTCGTACTTTTTAGATGTGGTTGTCTCAACCACATATTTGCTGTTTTCAAAGAGCCTAACTAAGCATATCAATATTGGGTGAGGTGGTCTCTATTTCCCTCATATTAGCAAAATAAAATGATATTAATGGTTATGCAAGCAACATCCATTGGTTTGTACAAAAAAAAAAAAAGAAAGGGAAATTGTCTAAAACTCACAATGAGTTTTCAGCATTTCTCTTAAATTCACCCAAACTTTTCAAAATGTCTAAAATTCACCATATCTTTAACGTTAAACAGACTAATGGACGTTAATATATTACCATTTTAACCTTCATAGAAAAATATAAAATATATACAAAATAAATGAATGGATGTTAATATATTACCATTTTAATATTTAGACATGAAGAAAGGAAAAAGTTCAAAAAATATTTTCAAATATAAAATACATAAAAACATAGAAATTACAAAAAGCATAAAAAATGCAAAATAAAACCAAGAAAATAAAAAACTGAAAAAGACTATTTTTCCTCTAACTCACCATTAAAGGGTAATGTGGTCATGAAAATTGTTATTTATACTGACATGGACACCTCTATTAAGAAACATTAAGGATGCACTAATGGAAGGTGAGTTTCAAAAAATAAAAACTTACTGACATGATGAATTTTAGACATTTTAAGAAGTTGTGGTAAATTTAAGAAAAATGTTGAAAACTCATAGCGAGTTTTGGACAATTTTCCCCAAAAAAAACCAGCAACCATTGCTTTTATTATTCGGTGTGGAATCTCGTAACGAATTTCGTTGTATTAGGTTGCGAATAATATAATCCAATTTAATGACAAAAATCAGAGTGGCGCAGCGGAAGCGTGGTGGGCCCATAACCCACAGGTCCCAGGATCGAAACCTGGCTCTGATAAAATTCAGATGCTGCTTCCGTAAATGCGTTTTTTTTCCTTTTTTTTCACTTTATTTTTTGATTTCTATATTTAGTACCCGCGTAATTTTAACGCGCGAAAATGGCATTTTAGCAATTTAGCTGTAACATCGCGAGTTCGCAACACTGCCAACACAACCCAGAGTGTTCTCCCAGACTCATAGTCTCCCACTACGTGTTACCCTGGACTAATTACTAACCTATTAGGGTTTCAGTTCTTCCCTGAAAAGTTGTCGCCCGTTTGGGTTTTCTGGGTTCCCGCCTACACAGAGCATTGCAAACGGCTACGGACCACGCATTGCCCGTAAGTTAAAACACTGATTAATAATCTTTTGTTTTTCGAAGAAAGATGTTTTGCTATTGTATTAACTTCCAAAGCAACAATTCCTCGTTTCTTTTTTCTGTTTTGTTAATTTTTTGGGAATACATTTGCAGCATTTTTTTTTTACTTATAATTGGTTTATTATCAATGTTGGAAATTTTCGTATACTAGAAAACATCTCCTGTTTTACTGTAATCTTTTTGACCAGGTTTCCAGGGAAAACAGGAGGTGGTAGCATGCGTGGAGACGACTGTGTTGAGCGCTTTCTGTTTGGCGGTGCGATATCCAGCTTTTTCTCTCTTAGGTTCCAGGTCAATTGTTTTTTCACATACATTTATTTATTTCCGAGTCAAATCCTATCTGGATTTGAACGGAGGCAATGAAATGGTGATTTTTTATTTAATTTTTGATTTGTAGGATGTGAGCAACATCCGAGAAGTTCCCGATCACCAGGTTGGTTTTTGCTTAATATTTGTATTTTGATAATCAGATAATTTTGTATTTAAATGGAACTTTCTATAAAGATGCCGTCGTTTTCTGGGTGGCCTCTAATGTCTTTATTTTCTGAATGTCTGCTTGTTTTTCTTGGTTAAAGGAGGTTTTTGTGGATCCTGCTCGTGACGAGAGCCTCATCTTTGAGCTATTAGAGCTGAAGCACAATGTTGAAGATAATGCAAGTTCTTCCTGGTTTCTTCAAGACCTTGCAGTAGAACAAGATGCTGAAGGAAGCGTGGTACGCCTTATACTCAGTCTCGACTTTCTGATATTTTTCTGCATTTAAGGGTGTTTGATTGTCCCTCCCTCAATATTATCTTTCTCTTGGAAGATTTGTGAGTATATTGCCATCACTTGACCAAACCCCTGGTATAGTCAATAGTTACGTGTGCGTGTGTGCAATGAATAAAACCACAGAGGTGATACTCATCCAAAAATGTATAGAGCTTTGACTCCTCTGCATCACCACATTAAAATTAGCAGGTTTTAAGTTCCAAACTCTGGAATTTCAGTATTGTTTCTAGGTTTTGAGGTGTTCTTGTATTAAAATCTAGTAATCTACATTGGATAAAGTATGCATGAAGCTATGTAAAAACAAGAGGAATAGAGAAGATGTAGGAAAATAAACAAGTCTAGAGGAAGTATGAAAGTAGAGAGATGCAGTTAATGTAAAAGAAGAAAATTAGCTTAATTTTGAACTTTTCTTAGAATTTTGTCTAAGATCTTCAAATCATTGATAAAATTATGGAAAACCTCTATGTAGGACCTTGATGGACATTATTGTCTCATGCATTGTTTACAGACTTGGACCTTTAGTGGCATAGGGCATCGTTGGATGGGTGAAGAGTAAATGATGCAAAATGAAAAACAAGACTGTAGACATGAAAGAAATCATCTTTTTGTTCAGTCAGAAGTTGGGATCTCTAATTTATATGGATTATTTTGCACATGCCTGGGTTACTAGTCCGGTTTTTAAAGCATTGGCTTATACTTGTTTTTTTTCTAGATAATTCACTTTGTCTTTTGCACTTATTGTGTGTCTTTCATGAATAAAAAAAACCACATCGTACCAGTATCTGTCATTAGTGAAACATCAAGATTTATCAAGTAAACCACATCATCCAACCTGAGGAACATTGAGATTTATTCCTCATTATCATGAAGGATTATGCCATGTACTTTAAAATATTAGGTGTCTGTGAGCTTATTAAACATGCATGGTTGCTTAGTTGATTTGTCAGTATCTCAGGTTGGAACCACATTTTTTCTTTCAGTGCTGACCGCTGAACCAGCAAAAAAGGTGTAACGGATTTTGCCCTTCCTCAGTTTCTCCTGAGCTGAATTTGTTAAATATAACAAACAAGTTTCTGTTGAAAAGTAGCGTGTGTCTTCAGCTGCTGTTATTTTCTGTGTTCTTACCATCACTTAGTTTTGCTACATCTGTTTTTTTTTGAACAAAATAACTGTATTAATATATGGAGAGAGTTGAGAGACAGGATACAACCAAAAAAAGCCCTCCCATGAACTTTACACATGCAGAATACTGTCACTATACAAATTTTCCATGTACACCTGCCTTATCCAACCCATTAGCCAACATATTGCGCTCCCTGGGAATCCAAAGTTACCCTAGAATGTGCAGAATGCACAGTGTCCCTTGCTTCATTCAAAAATTGAACCAGCCTCCAGGAACTGCTGTCCTTCCCTAACCAATTGATGGTGTTTGCTGTGTCACCTTTGATGGAAATGGCCAACAAACCTAGCTGCTTTGAGATGCAAAGGCCTGTAAGAGCAGCTAAGACTTCTACTTTTGTTGAGTTAGTGACACCGATTAGCCTGCTAAAGGCTAGGGGTGTCAATGGTATCTGAAAATCCGATTTCAAATTTGAGATTCGATGTAATTGAATCGAATTCGGATGATTCGAATAGTAAAAACGGTCAAATTCAAATATTCATTTCCTACCGATTAATTAATCGAATCGAATTCGAATGTAAGTTGATTCGATTCAATAAATAATCGACTTTGATTATATTATAAATATAATATTATATAATATATTTTTAACATTACCCCCTTTTAATGCTTTATGACATTTAATTACATATCTCTTACAAAATACAAAAACACTTGATTATCATTTGAGTGACAAGACCACTTAGTTCTACTTTTCCATTTACCAATAGCGGTGAGTGGGTAATCCCTCACTATTGTTCATCTCATCTCCCCCATCTTTGCTACTCCATCTCATTTGCCCCGGTTCTCCCCCATTCCCCTCTGTCTCTCTATGATATGAAGGTGGTGGTCGTTCAAATGAGACATCCGGACTTTAGTAGCTGGGAGGCATTGTTGCAGAAAAATCAGCCGAAGGTTTGGGGTTTTCAAGTTCTCTGTTGCATCTTCCCAATGTTCTTCTCCTTTGTTTCTCTTTTGATGAACAACCCCTCTTTCTATCTCTCTTGCTCTCCCTTTATTCTCCCCCTGTTCTTTCTCTCTCTTGCTCTCACTCTGTTCTCTTTATTCATGTTACCGGTGGTAAAGGGATTTGTTATTATGACTAGAGACTTAGTTGCTTGCTTTAGATTTTCTAGGTGTTGTGTTTTTTTTTTTCATTTGTTGTTCTTCGTTTTGCTTTAGTTTTTTTTAGGTGTTTTGTTTTCTTTCTTTTTTCGTTTGTTGTTCTTCGTTTGCCCGAGTCATTCGTTTATGGTGAACAAAGGCTCATTTTTACTCTTCAAGACTTGGGGTTTTTATGTCGATTCGAATAATTAGTCGAATTCGAATAATTAGTCGAATTCGAATATTCAATTAACTAGTCAAATTCAAATTCAGTTGGTAACTTTTTACATCCGCCGTATATTTAATCAAATTCGAATCATCACTTTTACAATTGAATTCGAATTCGAACGTAGTCTGATTCAATTTGAATCCGCTCCGTTTGCAGGGCTACTAAAGGCCCAAAGAATGCTGTTGTCTCTCCTTAAGATCACCCAACCAATGCCTGCCTTGCCAGGATTGCCCAAGAAGTTGCCATCAAAGGTGAGTTTCAGTTTCTTCCACTCTATTAGAGTTCAATTTATGCAGGCGAGGAAGAGGAGAGCTGTGGAGAATCTCCTCAAGGTTCCTCTGGAGGTCGTTCAAGGAGAAACCCTGAAAAGCCTTTGAATTGAGAGCCCAAGAATTACAGAGATGATTCTTATAAAAAAAAAGAATTACAGAGATGATAGATGTGCGCTTCCACCTCTTCAAAAGATCTGCTTTTATTGTCCAAAATTCTTCTGTTTCTCTCTTCCTTCACACCCAACAAAACAACATGATTGATTAAACTCCCACAAATTCTCCCTCTCCTGCCCACTCCATGAGCATGCCACTGCTTCTTCCTTTGCATCAAATCACACATGTTTATATTCCCTAACACACACAAAAATAAAAAAAGGAAAAAACTCTTGGAGGGACAATGGGGTTCCACACCTTTTTTAGCAGGAAACTTGGGATCTTGTGAATCTGAAACAAGGGCCTTAAAGAAGGAATTAGAAGAGAAATTACCAGATGGACAAACAGTCCAAATTCTTTTGTCAAAGGCTTGAGGTGTGCTACATCTTTTGTACCCATGATTAGAAACAAGTTGCTTTAAAATAATTATGATTAATTGAACATATCATTATCATCATTATCCAAGCCTTGTCCCAAGTCCCAACTATATGGGATTGACAGCATTTAAGTAGAACATATGCAATGTAAAATTTAATAACAATAGGAGTGAAAAACAGGGTACAATTAAGATTAGAAACCAAGATACATTTCAATGTGACCTTCTCTATTACATTGGTTCGATGATCCATATCAAGAGAGAAATTGTGGAGGATGTTGCTCATAGAATTAGAGTGGGATGGGTAGAATGGGCAATCTGGGAATCCTATGCAATATGAGGATACTGCTTGGGCTAAAAGGAGAACTTTATAAAATGGTTATAAGGCCAAAAATGTTGTATAGAATAATATTGGGCAGTCAAGAAGCAAAATGTCCAAAAAATGTGAATGTTGAGATGGATGGGTGAGAAAGCTAGAATAAAGAAATTCAAATGGCTGACAAGGAATATGTCTGTAACAGTACAGTGGGTTGAGAGATCACCTAATGTATTTTCTGATGTCTTGGCAAAACAAGGGACAAACAGGGAAACATTGTTCTGGGCGCAACTGTAATTTGTGTTTTTTTAACAGTCATGCACTTTTTGTGTTTTCTGTATGGTGAGGCATCACCTTGTGCCTCTCCAAGGGGATTTTCATGTAACCGATCTTTGAATTAATGGAATATGATTCTTTACTTATAAACAAAAGCTAGAAATAATATGATAAGAAATGGACATATTCCTATTTATCAAAAAAAAAAAGGAAATGAACATATTCCTAGAAACCTAGGAGTAGCCTCAATCAGCAATAAAATGCGGGATATTAGACTAACATGGTTCAGTCACATATGAAGAAGACTTAGGGTCAGGCCAAAAAGGACATGGGTTGAAGTAGTAAGAATGATTTGAATAAATTCAACAATGGATATGGGACTAAACAAAGTAGAATGGCAGAACAGATCCATAATGATTTGCAAACTTTGACATGCAGTATTTATTTTGCAGTGAATATTTTTTTAGAGATCATATAATGCAAACTAACAACATAACATGTGTACATAAAACATGTGTAATAGCTTGAGGTATAACATGTATGTCTTTCAGTTAAAACTCATGTTTTTTATAATTTCTATCAGGTGATTGACCAGTCAGGAGTTGTTGAAGTAGAAAGCTTGCGTTACAGAAACATGCCTGCAATAGTTACAACTGCAGTTGGTCAAATGGTAAATCTTTTGTTTAATTTGAAGCCACACTAATTTCATGTGTAAGCTTTACTATTTGCTTGTTTGACTTATCATTTTTGTTCTTTCGATCAATACTTATCATTTTTATTCTTCTTGTGCTTTCCCCTGGATGAATTGATTTAGTATGTTCAGGAGAAGTACCATGGTTTATGCGGTTTACTGATATAATATAGTATTAATTGATGAAACTAGAGAGGATGAATCCTGTTCCATACAACATTGTTGGCTTTATAGTTGTTTGTGAGACTAGAACTAGGAAGTACCAAAGGGAGTCCTAGATACTTCATTGACCATTGTGAGGCTGAACATCCAAAGACTACCGCATTATCTCTCCATCTACCCCATCAAATTTATTCCTGCAATGCATCTGTTCTTCAAATTGACTTTCAAATTTGAAATTCTTTCAAGCAAGTCTATTAATACCCTAAGGGATAAAAGGGAAATTTCACAAAATGGCTGTAAGGCCGGCAATATTGTATCGAATAGTGTGAACATGTCCAACGAAAATGATTGTAGTAGAAATGTGAATGTTTAGATGGATGAGTGGGGAAGCTAAGAAGGATATGATCAGAAATGAATATATTGATAGGAACCTCGGAGCAGACCCAATAGGTGATGAAGACAATCTATATGGCACTGGTGAGAAGTGATCTGCCACAAGTTGATGGGTTGAGAAGAGCTAGGGGCAGGCCTAAAAGGGCACGGGTAGTAGTGAGAAATGATTTAAAGGCCCATAATTTAACATTGGAAGTCTTCAAATTCGTGGAGAGAATCAATCTCTTCCCAAAATCTTGCTCTGTCCCGAGGGGAGTTGGGCCCATACACTCCTGTCAGAATCCGGTTGAAGCCATTTGATACATTTGTAAACAAGACAGAGATGGAGAACTCTCCAGCATCTATTTCTGTTCCTGAAACCACCTCTTTTCTCCATGGGTTGATGATTTCTCCTGCTGTCCCAATGGCCGGCAAGGTTGCCCATCTCTTCCCTCTTAATCCCCATACAGCTTTTATTAATTTCCTATCCACCAAATCCTTTTTAGTTTCCTGTAGGATGACGGTATCTGGATTTTCCCTCTTTAAGGGTTTCTTTCACTAAGCTTCTTTTCATTCCTTCTCCCAAGCCCCTTAAGTTCCACCTTAGAATCTTCATGGCAGATAATTGATAGTATTTTAGTGGCCAATGATGTGTTGAAGACAGAAGACAAAAAGACAAGTCTGGAGTGGTTATAAAACTCGATTTGGAGAAAGCATATGACAAAGTTGACCGGGACTGTGTGCTCAATATGTTGGAGTTAAGAGGTTTTGGAAGAAGATGGGTGTGTTGGATAAAAGGGTGACTCAATTCTACTCAGTTCTCAATGCTGATAAATGGAGAACCAAAAGGTTATTTTCAGGCAAGTCGGGGTCTTTGGCAAGGCTTCTCCCTTTCCCCCTTTCTGTTTACTCTGGTTGTAGACATTCTCAGTCACTTCATTGAGAAAGCAAAAAGCCTAAACCTATTGAAAAGATTTAAAGTTGGAAGAGACTCAATTCACTTGTCCCATTTGATTTTTGCTGATGTCATTGTTTTTTTTGGAGGCTGATCTGGATTCTATCATTAACTTGAAAAAGGTCCTTGTGTGTTTCGAGAAAGTTACATTCTCCAAGTAAATTTTTCCAAGAGCAACATTGTGGGGATAAACATAAGTGTAAGTTTGGTAAACAGCTTCAAGGTGATCCTAGGTTGTAAAGTGGAGACTTTTCTGATCTCATACTTGGGGTTGCCTCTCGGAGGGAATCCAAGAAGCCAAAGCTTCTGAGAACCAGTAGTGGAAAAGTGTGAAAAAAGACTGGCAACTTGGAAGAAAGGCCATCTTTCAAAAGGAGGAAGGCTTCCCTGGCTAACCTACCTTAGTACCTAATTACTATCTCTCAGTGTTCCAAATCCCGGCCAAGATCAGAAATAAAATTGAAAAGCTGCAGCGTGACTTCTTGTGGGATGGGGGTGGAGAGAAAAAAAAACTACTTAGTCAGTTGGGACTTAGTCTGTAGACCAAAGGAAGCTGGAGGACTTGGAATAGGAAGGATAAGGAAAAAGATGTAGCACTTCTAGAGAAGTGGCTGTGGTGGTTTCCTCTAGAACCAAACGCCCTTTGGACCTCGGTCATAATCAGCAAATGCGGAAAGAATGTCAACGGTTGGGACAGCAAGGTCACCTTGAATCTAACAAAAGCCTCTAACCCTTGGAAAGGTATTTTTTCCATTTATGATATCTTTATTTCCTTTATTAGATATAAAGTAGGGGATGGGGCCAAAATCAAATTCTGGACTGACCTTTGGTGGGGAGAAAACACTCTAGCCAACAGATTTCCTCATCTTTTCAATCTCTCCCAAAACAGAGAAGCTACTTTAGCCTCCTGTATTTCAGACTCAACCCCTGCTTCAAACTGGAACCTAAACCTAAGAAGACACTTGAGGGATGTGGAGAATGAGGATCTTGCCGAACTCCTACATGCCTTAAGAGAGGTCTATGTTTCCCCTTCAAACCAAGACCAACGAATCTGGAAGCTCCATCCAGCTGGTAAATTCACAACTAATTCCTTTTCCAGAGCCTTGGTATTGGGTGACACAAACTATGGGTCCCTTATATAGAAGAGTTTGGATTGTTCACGTACCCTCTAGAATCTCTTTTTTTTGTGTGGGAGGCTTGCTTGGGGAAAATAAACACCTGTGATCTTTTACAGAAAAAGCTCAATGGAAGGCTGTACATTTCTCCCCATGTCTGTATCCTTTGTCTCAGTAATGGTGAGTCGGCAGACCATCTCCTCTTACATTGCTTAGTGACGAGGAAGATATGGCTTTACTTAACCTAGTAGGGTACAGTTGGGTTTTCCTGGAACACAGAAGATTTCTTAAGACAATGGCAAGGAAGTGGACTAGGCAAACGAGGAAGAATATACTGGCATACGGTAGCTCAAGCAGTAATGTGGGGTATTTGGGAAGAACGAAACAATCGCATTTTCGATAATAAAGCTAGATCACTTGGAGACTTAATCTCTCATATAATATACTTGTGCAATCAATGGGTGCAGAATTCGGACAGCTTCAAAGGAATGTCCATGAATATGCTTCAGCAGAATGTAGTGGAAGTATTGTTCTCCTCTCCCAGTCCTTCAAGAGGGAAAAACATCCCCCATCAAAGAGAGGAGAAGGAAGTGACTTTATATTTTGATGGAAGTGCTACAGGAAACCCAGGAATAGCAGGAATTGGTGGAGTATTTAAGAGGAGGGATGGCCATCCTTTATGGGTATTTAGTGGACCAATTGGAGTTGCAGATTCCACAACGGCATACATTTTAGCTGCTTTAATGAGGCTCTGTATCACGAGAGACCTAGGCTTCACTGATCTAACAATCAAAGGAGACTCCAGCAACATGATAAAGTGGTTAGGGGAGAAGGAAGGAGGTCCATGGAGACTGGCCCACTATTTAAATGAGGCTAGAGATCTGTTAAATTCCTTATCTGTAAACCTTTTTGGATTCCTAGGGAATTAAACTCTGTAGCTGATAGTTTGGCTAAAACTGGTACACAGGAATTTTTTGTACAGTGATAGAAATATGCCTTTATAACCTGTGTGTAGCCTGATTGTGCATCCTCTCATGTGCTCTCTGTTTTCTCAATCAAGTTAACCTTTTTTCTCAAAAAAAAAAAAAAACAAAACTGGTACGTGGACTGAGTGAGGGTAACATGAATTTGTTGAGAAGCTTGTTGTGTATACTATTTTCTTTCCTTAATAAAGTTCTGATGAAATTACCAAATAAAAAAGAATACAACACACACACGCACAAAAAGAATATTGCACCTCCCAAAGGAACTTTAAAATCAATCTGCAAAAACATTAGCTGATCCTCACTTAGAAGAGGCAGGGTCTTCAAAGATTGGGCCCAGCCTCTGGCCTCTCTGATGAAGTCCAGATGATCTTGAGGCTATGGTTGAGTTTCCTTTCATTATCTAATTAAGAAGAGAAATAAACTCTTGGGAATTCTACAATCATGAAGGAGTGCATTCTTGGAATATAAATATGATGATGGTAGTTGTAGGAAGAAATAATTATAATTAATGGGTTTTGGTTTTTTATTTGTTGAGCCTCTTTTTCTATTTAATAAGTTTTTGTTTTTTTTTCAACAGAGTTCTGATTTCTTTTTTTTTTTCGAGTCTATAAGTGGTGTCCAGGTTATGGGAACTATTCTTTCATAGGTGCAGGGAATCACAGTTGGAAGCACTTTTCCTATCAAATACATTTGGGGGGGGGGTTAAAAGTGTTCTGTTTGGGGAATTATTCACTTGTGAATGATGTTGTACTGTGATTTTGATTGGAAAAATGTTTTGAGGAATTCCTTGCAATTTATGTGGAATTTTCCAAAATGTGATAAAAAACCGATTCCTCACTGGAAAATGATTTAAATGGGGCAAAAAGAAATTGATAGAAAACAGTCATGGATCTTGGCAGCATAGGAAATCCTTGAAAGAGATGAGAAGCCTGTCTAGAGAATTGAGGATTTCCTTCATTTGGACTCAGAGATCATCTAACAGCATGGCTGATGCACTAGCAAGACAGGTAGTGATCACTGATCAGAAATCAAATGTATTGGGGGGGGGGGGTCATCAACCAAGACATGTAATTGTAAGGGGTAGAAGTGAGGGGGTGTCAGGTTAGGTAGCCAGTGCTAGCATAAATTTCAGTGGGGGTGCATGAGACACTTTTTTCCTTATACAAATTATTTTTTTTTATAACAATATAAAATTGAAAAGTTGTAATCTCACTGTCTAAGAAAGAGGGATAAACACATAAAAAAAAAAAGAAAGAGGGATAAACATTGCAGAAAGCTTTGTGCTAGTTGTACAGAAAATTTGAAAAAAAAAGAAATATTATATTATTTTGGATAAAGAAAAAGGGAAAACAAGAATACCTACAAGAAAAGGGAAAATCAAGGTAGTAATTAAAAACAACATAAGCTGTGTAGTCTTTAATTAAGAAATGCAAGAACAAAATAAATCTAATTAGACACCATTGGGAATTTCTCTACTTTTAGTCAAGGATTATGATATGCCCTGTATCTGTGCATCCAGATACACATGGATACACCAATGCACACATGTTTTAAAAGCTTTAAAACTTTGGGATGATAGATTCCATCCCTCTAATACTTATAAAAAAAGAAAAAAATGGAGTATTGGTAATATTGATACACACTGATACCCAACTTTGGGTATTGGGCTATCGATATTTGATTCTTGCTTTTAGTTTACTGTAAAAAATGAAATTTGGCAATTTGTATCACTTGCCACCTAGGAACTTGCTTCCTGTATTATAGGAATTTAATTAAATAGATTTAGTTCCCAAGCTAGGCCTTTATTTCTGTACTCTACGGGTGCAGAAGCATCTAGGTCATCAGACAATTCCAGGGGTTCATCTAACTATCTAAGAACTCTGTGCAGTTTACTGGTCAACTGAGACCTCTCAGAGGGTACATGAGCTTCCATAATCCACTTCCATTGAAAGATGACCATTGAAGTGCCAACGAAACAAACAGATTTTATAGAAAACATACCATTGTGAAAAGTACAACTCCAAGGCTGAAAAAAAGGGAACAAGTCTCCCAAATTGCACAGACTGTATTCATAAGCAATGGGTGTTCTGTGGCCTAAAACAGAGGCATTTCTAATAACTGACACATGCCCTTTCTTGTAATGTCTGTATTTTTTGCCATCATATTTCACTATCTGCATGCAATCATGCTTATATATTAACAATACACTGATTGTTAACTTTTCTTATTGCTTGTGTATAGGCCATTTCTAAAGGACGTCAAGGAAGAGAGGCACAAAACATTGTGAGGGTAAGTTCATTTCAAGTCTTGACACATGTGCTAGCAACCAGTTACAAGTTGATAGGTTGAATTGTGGATTGGGGTCTGCAGGTTTATTTGGCAAATTTGCGTCTTAAGGAAGTCAACACTGATGTGCTAATCACTGCATATGAGCCAATCTTAATAAAGTAAGTATCAACCATACTAGTTTGGTAACTTAAACTTGTGCAACCCATCCACTTGAGTTGTACGATGCTCCTTTATAGCCTTTGTCATTCCCACAAAAACCTGTGGTGATGTTGGAACTACGTTGGCCATTCAAGTGAGCCTGGATCTCCTGCAAGCAAAAACTCTATGCACATATCATCCAGTTGTATATTGGGAACTATGTTGTGCAACCCATGCTTGCAGAGTGTGTTCAGAGTTTTCGCTTGCAAAGAATCCCATCACCATTCAAGTCAATCTGGGTTCTAAAAGGTATGCCTAGGTTCATCAGTGAGTCTCATTTTGTCGAGTGCACCTGGCCTGGGCCCAAGTGTGTTTTCATATGGCTGGTTGTTATGTTTTAATAAATTAATCTTGAATTTAATGCTGAATCTGTAAAGTAGGTTGTACTTATGATGTTTAGAGTTTAAACAATTTAGTCCATGTAGGACTTGAACACACAAGGTTACAACTTTCATGTTAATATCACAATTCTCAAACCAATTTGAGCTAATAGGGTTTTGGAAATGTTTTATTTCTTTCAGAATTTAGATTTGCGTATTCTTTTTTTTTTGTATGTTGAGTTTTTCTTTTGCTTTTTTATTTTATTTTATTTTAAGTTGCACCTTACTTCTTTCGGAAATGCACCTTGACTTGCACTTCAGGCCATAGGAACCCCCTTGCACTTTAGTGACACTCCTCACTTTTAAATCTGCACTTGGTAGTTTATTGATAACTAGTTGAGTGGCATGTGCATTCTTACATGCAAGAAGAGAGATGGACAAGTAGAATGGGGGGAGAGGAAAACAAATGGACTAAAATTTTTGGATTGCCATTGTATTGACGTGAGGCCAGTGCAAAACTAGTAGGGGTGTATTGGTTTTAAACTGCACAATGGTATAACAACTTTTCTTTAAGAAGGACAGAGTGGATATAGCGGTGATCAACTGATGGCTTACAAATACGTGTCCACCTCAGCATGCCAAAAGAAAATGGATTTTGGGAACTCTTTCTATTTTATGATACCTGGATACCTGTTAAAGGGGCAATGGGATCTCCTGTATGCGGAGACTGTGCACACACTCTGCAAGAACAGGCATCCCAGCCACACATTGGACACATCTCCCCAAGAATTTAATGTACATGCACTGGAGATATTCCCAATGTATGATTGGATGCCATATGCACACTTGCAGGAGATCCGGGCTCATTACTCATTAGTGGGTGCTACATTATTTTGGATGCTTCAACTTTTAGTGTAAAATTTGTATCTGACACCATGTCCAGCCAAGAGTCCTTGCATATCCAGGTAACATTAGCTCCTATTCAGCCTTTATTTTGACATTCTTTTTTTCAGTAAACAAACTCAGTTCTTAAGGGTTTTTGCCTGAAAACTAGTTAAAAAACTATTCGATATTAGCAAAACTGTTTTACAGCTCTGGGAAAAAAGATTAGAGTTGGCTTTCACAACTTTTTATGAAGTCTTTATTTTGTTTTTCTTTTCAGGGAATTCAAACCACTTCTTGAATGCCAGTTTTACCTAAAAAGTTGTTCCAAAAACAAATTTAGGTTTGATAGTAGCAAAGCAGTTTTCACATCCCTGGGAAGAAATATTGGGAAAAACACTATCTTTTTTTTTTTAAAGTTGGATGTAGCAGATTTTGAATGGTGGGTATTTGGTCATGTTTTCTCCTGTGCGTTTAATTAGGGTTGGCTAATGGCTAAGCTAATGCAGACTAAAGTTTAATGGTAATTAAACCTTAAATCTGTAAGCATTCCTTTGTTTTTCATTTTCAGCCCTTTGAGTGAAAGTGCTAGGACAGTGGGAGCTGGTTTAGCTGTCTCTGCCGCACAATCTGGATGTATGCTAATGGCTGATGTCTTCAAACTTGCTGTCTCAAGCTTCAAGGTCGATGACTGGAACCTTTTTGGTGCGGGGACTTAAGCGTGCCTTTAAAGGTATTCACCCAGGAAAAAATAATGCTTATCTTTATGCTTGGTGCTTTCTTGTCTGAAATGTAAATGACAATGCCAAGTTGAATGTGCACTGGATCATTCTGTATTATAAATCGACTTCTTGGATGTCCTTAACCTCTGTTATGTTATTGCTTGTTTGCGTGTAATCAAATGTCACATCGGCGTACACCTATCGCATAGCTGCTCTCGTGCAATCTCTAAATAATGGTTTTGAGTTTTTTCCCATGATTTCAACTACCAGTCCAGTTTATTCACCTTGACATGCTTGATCACAGAAGAATGAGGAGGTTGGGAATTATTCATGCTAGATGTTGGGAGTTGGGTAACAGTTTACCTTGAAATGAAAAAATATTATTGGTTACCATGATGTAACTTCACATGTTCTTTTCTATATCTCAATATCATATAGTGTTTCTGATTTGTTTTTGTTCGGCAATTATTAAAATAACTCTTCTTTCCTGTTACTGTTGTTACAATTAAAAGTTTCCAAGAGGTCCTCTACAATTATAGCAAGCTGTGTGACATTTTCCAACACTGGATCCCACAAACTCTGGCACTTGAACTGTTCTGACATAAGCGGCCAAATGGCTTCATATTATTGATTCAAGAAAAAACTTGGCATATTCTCCAGAGGATAACCTCAGCATATGGATGTGTGCTGAACGTTTAGCAGGTTATGTCTTTAACGAAGATCGAATTTATTATATAGGTTGGTAATTCCTTGATGGGCCAACTCCAACCGTCCTGCAAGTTACATGATCCCAGCCCTAAGATCAGCTTGAATACATAAAAAAAGGTAGGAATTCAGAAAGAAAGATAGGTTCATTCATTTGATGGTTAAGATTACCTGATCGCTGGAATTTATACTGGTCCCATCAAATATTTCGTAATTGGATTTTGGTTTCATGGGTGTATCATATGCTTGATGCAAAATACAGTTGATCTGTCTCTATTGGAGAAAATATCTCCACTCATTGCTATTTATGATGTTTAATTTTTACCCAGAAAGCAGGGCACTTTTTTAGGGGGGAGGGCATTCTGCATTGGTGTACAAGGAAGATAAGGTTGGAGAAGTGTGATCAGAATTCTTTTTTTTTTTTGTTTTTTAATTGAAAACACCCAATTCCGCGTACATATTAAGAGTGACATCATTTTCAAACCAAATCTTAGCCCCAAAAAGTACACGATAAAGGTGGAGATTTTATGGCTTTCATCCGGGTGCACCCCGTGTATCTTTTGCTTATAAAAGTCATAAAGTACTTCTCGCACTTAGCCGAAAGGACTATTTATTTCAGCAAAAATATGATTAGGCAGAACGTACTTATGCTGATCGAGAGAGAGAGAGAGAGAGATAGAGGAACTTGAGCTTTTATATTAAGACAAAAGTTGTTTCGTGTATGGGTACTGTATGGTTGAGCTTTCGATCATGTTGCATTATTGTATATAACAATACCAATATAATAGCTCATAGAAGCTTCTCTTGATGGTTGATAGTTTGATACCCTTAATCGAGGTGGTGCTTACTGCCTAGAAAGCAGCCAATCACTGAATAAGCTTCGAGTGCCGCAGGAATTTCAACATCCAGCCGTCGTAGGAAACTAGGAATGTTGCTGGCTTTTGCAAGATATTCTAATGAAGCATGTTACACAAAACATGCAAAACAACACCTTCAATAAAAAACTCCAATAAATAAACCTAAGATTGCATGTTTTTTTAATGAAATATCCTGCCACTGGACTATATTCTTCTTGTTGATGCTTTAGGTTCTATTTTTTTTTAGGATTGTGTAATTATCTTTCATTGTATCAAATAAAAAACAAATCCTGCCACTGGGGAATTTCGTATCTGCTAGCTATGTTTTGAGTTCTAATCGCCTTTTTAAACAAAATTTCGAAATATTGTCAGTGACAACCCATTATTTTTCTGTTCTTTGTACTTGGAATGCACCAGAGCTTTAGATGCAGGACCTCTTCTGTGGCGAGTAGTCCAGCTTTCTTTTTATTTGTGTATTATATACGGTTCAGCTTGCTCAAAATGAAGCATTCGAGGCCAGGTTCCTCTCTTTTACCTCGATGCATTTTTACTACGTAGTTTAACCGCTTTGGTTTCTCAAATGTATTTTGTGGAAAGCTGAGGTGGCATCTCACGTGTTTTGAGTGTTTACCACTTCATGGTCGTGATACCACACTTGAAAAAAATTCCGGTTTACAATTGCTTTTAACGGTTGATGATGAATCCTCACCTCCCTTGATGATGAAAAAATTCTGGTTCTTTATATCCACCGTGGGAAAGTGATTGTACCTACAATTTAATAGGAGATAAAGTTCTTCTCTCTATGATACTTGGCAAGTTTCAACCTCACTGTCTAACACGTGGCATTCCTGACCCCCTTTCTTTTACAATTTTTCTTTCATTCTCAAAACGAAATAATTGTAGTTTGTGGAGTAAAAATACATGAAAAGAGCAGGACGCAGACCTGTTATGTACAGAATCTCACAAATAGCCCAGCGAGATAGTGTTTGTCAGAGAGCTGTTTGGATTGGCCATGTCATCCCTCCACAAAGCTGAAAAAGGAGTTTTGGGGATTCCAAGGTCTTTTCTAGATGAACCTTTCACAAATGGTTTTCGTTGGATTACACCTATTACATACAACTTTGACATGATCGATTGAATTCGTTCTTTATATATGATTTGACACGAGTTCATTACATTGTGCTGAACTATTTTAATTAATGTATTCATAAGAAAAAAAGGGTAAAGTACACACTGTGTTAGTGGCACTTAGTCCCCTGAATTTTAATTTGTAGCAAAGACTAACCCTGAATTTTTATATGCTACAGATAAAATGTCCATTTGAAGTTCAATGGCTGAGCAAATAAAATATCGAAATAGAAAAAGTAGTTATGTTAAAGTACGGCGTCTCTTGTTGTATTTTTAGTTTTTTTTTTTTTTTTTGCAAGTTTTAGTGTTTCTTCTTTTGTATTTTCTCTTTTCTTTGTTGCATTTTCTATAGTTTTCTATTTTTCTGTTTTTGTTTTTATTTCCCCCTTTTCTTCATCTTTTGTTGTACTTTCTGTATTATCTATAATTTCCTACTTTTCCTTTTTTTAGCTGTACTTTATCTTTTTCTACTAAGAATTGTACTTCATCATTTTTCTTTTCGCAAAATGGTATGATAAAATAACACAAATAGTTAATTAAACTTGAACGTTATAATCACATGAGCAGTTTTTCTGGCGGAATGTTAAAGGCCGATGAGGGCAAAGTGCTGGAATATTAATGTTGAGAATGGGTATTTGTTGCAAATAAGTTGTAAGTTCAAGGGGTTAAGTGTCACTATCCTAAATACAAGGTGGCAGACTGTATTTAATCCCATTTTTCATTAATGGACCATACTTCCAGTTGCTGGCAACTCTATCCTTGGATTTCAAATCTTATCCTTTGTCGTTATTCCTCAGAGATCTTGGGAGATATCATACACCTTTCACATTCACTAGTGGTTTCAACTTTCAAAATGGTGTTAACTGTTACGTTAGCCTCTTTTCTCAGAAGAAAAAAAAACCTGTTACGTTAGGCTCAGGAACAACTATTTTATTGGTCTACGTCTACAATCAGCGTGTCATCGCTTTAGAGACGTTCTGGTTAGGTCATACTCCAGTGAAGCAAGCTAATTATCTGCCTCGAAAATACAATCTACGACTTGATTGATTGACAAGTTAAGGTTGAGTTGAGTTTGGCATGACTCGTGTGTTCTCGCTTCAGTTCTCACTCACATCTGCGTTCTGCTCCGCGTTGCGTGGAACTCCAACATGGATATCGCTGTTCCGCGTTGTAGATCGGATCAATTCACACCCATGGTGTCGTTTTGCAACTATAGTGTGAATATATATTTTTATTTTATATATGTCATATATATTTTATAGGAGATCTATACAATCGATTATAAATGTTTAATTTTTGCAATTTATATGATAAATAAATTAAAAAAGACATCAGTATGTAGATAATAATTATATTTTTAAATAATTAAAAATAGTATTTAAATATAAAAAATATTTTAAATATAATTTTATTGCTAAAAATATTAAAAAAATTAATATTTAAATAATAAAAAAGGAGTTGAGAAGGAGAATCCTCGGACTTGTGCTAGAATTAACATTAATAATTATTATTTTATTGATAAAATATTAAAAATAAAAAATTTAAAAATTATTAAAAGATTAAATAAAATAAGAGTAATTTGACCAATGCAACACATATGAGTTATACTGAAATCTTCCCACAAACTATCCACACCATACCGTGAACCATCCACGAAATACTATGAACGATAAATTAGGGTGTGGCCTGTCCCCGTCCACACATAACAGAACACCATATCTTACCGTGGACAGAACCAAAATGGTCCCATCCACGATATTTACACACTACCAAACGCCACCTACAATAAGCTAATTGAATGAGGTGTTAAAATCCTACAACTAGGCTGATTTTTGGTCTTCTAAACCTTCTGAATGGATTCCAAATTAGACAACCTTTGGGTTGATAAGAATATGAACAAGAGTCCATTTGAAAGCTGTTTTTATTTAAATCATGATGGTACCAATGTCTACCTAATTATTTTAAGGGATACTGCAATCCACCTCATAAATCTGAATTGCAACCCCCTCCTTGTCTACTAATAGCTCCCCTATAAACTGCATTTTCCATAGGCAAGATTCAGTTCACCACTAGAAATATTATCTCCACCCTAGGGGTGGACTGAACTATAAAAACCCCTTCTTTTAAAGGTTAGAATCATGTATACCTCTTTCTTCGGAAACTTGTTTGATTAGTGTTGTGAAGTCATGAACTTAGTGCAGGTTGACTTAGCAAATGAGTGATTAACTTGGGCCCAGGCTATATATTTTCCATGTGACACTGGGTCTGATTCTTAATTTCTGATGACTATGGCATCGACAACCTCATTTGTGTGATACAAATGAAGAGGGCATTTCCCATGACTATGTATTGTTTTTTTAGGCTATGCCCTAACTACTCCTCCAAGGTAGACTACAAATGAAGGCCATATCATTTCATTAATCAAGGCCTTGAAATTCGCCGAAATCAGAGGAATTTGGGATTGATTTCGAAATTTTTCAAATTTTCCATTTCTTTAGAAATGCTTGTCATGTACATACCACGTTGTCCTTACCCGTAATATGATAGACCAACAGATTTGCATAAAAATTTGAAAAAAGAAGAAAAAAAAAGACAACCTTTTATTCCATTTGAAATGAAAATTCCAACTTGGAAATTGGGGTGCTCCCATTTCGGTTAATCGAATCATGGGTAATATTCTGAAACCGAACCTTTTTTGTATTTCTTCAAATCGAATTGGTTTAATCGTTTGACTGGTTTTGGTTTAATTGAAATCAAACTGGTTCTGAAACCGTTTAATCGTTTGATTAGTTTTGCTTTTTGACCAGTTTGATTCTTCTATTTTTTATATTTATAATTTATATTACAATATATATATATATATAATATTATAAATATAATAAATAATATAATATATTATATATTATAAATATAATATACGCATGATGTTTCTCTCTCTCTCCTGAAAATGAAAGTAGTCCTTTGATTTTTTAGAAATACAGAATTGAAACGGACCAGTTGATTCCATAAACCACATTTTTGAATTTGGTTCTATTTTTAGGTTTTTCGGTTTTTTATGAACATCGCCAACTGAAATTGTTCTTAAAATTTGGATATTTTTTTCTAAGAAAATTCCAAAAATTTTAGCTAAGCATAATATATCTCTATTGTTGTTGTTTTCTTTTGGGTGTTTAAAGAGTGAACGAAATAAATATACAACTTAACTATTAATAGAGATATGAATAGTAGTAGTAACACGGGTCAACTGGTTGTCGAGTACTCTGTAAACATCTCATAAAGTCGTTGGATCAAATGAACAGTCAATAGTGTCCACTATTTGAAATTTAGCAATGGTTAAGGGACCACTGTCCTTGGTATGTGCTATGTTTTCCACATTTTATAATTATTTCCGATCAAGAGCTCTGTTCCTTGATGACTTGATGTTGACTCCTATTTAAATCTTTGGTAGGCAATTCACATCAAATAATTGCCAATTCTAGATAGGAATAAGCAAGCACATTTCAATAGAAAATTCCAGATTTCAATCCGTAATTCCGTATTAATCTTAGTTTCATATCTTCCTCAGTTAAGCTCAGGTCGGCTCCGTAATTTCAGAAAAAGAGAGGTGCAAATGCAGAGAGGACAAGTCCCCAATGGAAATCTTGTTAAAATGTTAATTAGAGGGTAGTGTGAGGGGTTTCTGGCGGCCAGCTTATATGAGTCCGGAATAGCTAGCGGCAGGCAGAGTCTGGAGTGATGTGACCCAACTGCCAGTTTTTAAGTCGTATTCCGTCAGCCCTAGGCCGCATAGTGTTTCATAGCTGGGTCGATGACGTAAGCCCTAGAGAGTGTGGAGTTGGTTGGTTGCTCTCCCAGGCAAGAAGATTCCAACTGTCGAGTTTGACGTGGCGTTGTCAGCCCACCCACCATCTTCGCCAGAGGGAGTCGAGAAGGACATTCCCTTGGCGAGCTGGACCGTGGGTCCCATCCCCTAACTGCTTCTCTGACCCCGAATTTAATGGAACCCAATCCCCACCGGCTTTTATTTCGGTTCAGCTCGGCTCGCCCCTCCCCAGACCCAAGATGCGAGCCTAATTGACGAAAATGCCCTTAGTGAGGGTACTGTTTGGTTATGTTATTTCATTTCCCCTCTTGAATGGATAATTATAATTCCATTATAACCAAGTGTAGCCATACACGTGGCAGACATGAAGGAAGAGGAGAATCCTCAAGTTATGAGATCTACCTACCAGATCCGGTAGGGATGCAGCTAGTCTATAGGTCAACAACTAGGTACCTACTGACCGAGAGAGAAAAAGAGAAAGAGAAAGAGAAAGAGAGAGAATCAAAAGACGTGGTGGAATGTGTAATGAGCTTTTACATAATCCCTTCATCATCATATTCTGGCAGCATAAAAGTTTGAAGTAGATCAGATCATCAGACGGCTACTTTGGATTTTGGGTAGTGAAAGGAATTGGGTTTTCGGCACGTGTACTTTTATCATACCTCTTATAGACCACATTAAGAATATGCAAGAGTGTACTTTTATATTTAATAGATGCTTACTCAGTTGTTCTCTGGTTCTCTCTCTCTCTCCTTAATCTTTATTATTGCTTTGCTGATTCGCTCTTTATCTTTGCCAAGAAAAGACTTAGGCCTTAACTTGTGTAGTTTCTGTTCGAATGTGAATCTCAGCTTTCAATCCTTTCATCTCTCTCTGCCCATGTTCCCTATGACCCCCACATAACACATTACTTTAAACGCTTTATCTTTTATATAATTGTTGTCAAGTCTAGTGACCACATATCCTAAAACTTATCAAGTTGGAGATAGAATAGAAACCCACCTGGCCCCTAGTTAATTTAACGTCGGCAAAATCTTTATCTCTTTGGGATTAACAAACATTATTTTGTACTTTGTCTTTTTCACTTTGATCATTTGTTTCCTAGCCTAGCAAAGTAAGAAAAAAAGTACAGTTACCATTTTACTCTATTTGGCAAATATTGACAGAATTAGACCATTTGGGTTGATTCAAAGAAGCTACAGTAAATGAGTTGGTTGTTAAAGTTTGTAATATCCAGATATCTTTTTTTTTTTTGGGGGGGG